CTAATGATTTTGTGGATCAGGAATCTGGACAGGTCTCACTTGAGCAATTTGTCTGCTTCCTGTTGAAACGGAATTTTTGGACTGGAACCCGGATTCTTTGTCCGCCAGAATCAAAGAATGAATCCACAGATAGAAAGTGGTATAGCAAAGGTGGAGATTTATTGAAGAACAAGTACAGACTCCCACGTGGGAAGAGGGAACGAGTCCCACAGAATAGACTCCCATGTGGGGAGAGGGAAAGGGCCCCATTGAGTTCTTGTCCTCTATGGCTTATAAAAGCTGCAGATCCTGGTGCCTTGATATCCCCTCTGATTGGACACTATTCTCTAAGACTGGTTTCTATAGCAATTCCTGGGCTCAGAGGTCCATGTTCCATGTGAGGTTCTTCCCCCACTCTTCCTTCCTTATTGTTTTCCTATTCCCTTTGGGCTTTCTTCTCCTCCTTCTGGATGAAGGGCTTCCTTCTCTTTATTTTGTAAATATAGACCTTTTGCTGCTCCCAGCTCCCTTATTCTATGGAAATGTTCCTGTTGCAGCTTTTCAGCTTACCTATTCTATGGAAATATACCTTCTGCTGCTCTGCAGCCCTGTGCTTCCTCCATGGTCCCCTTAATTTTCAAAATTTCTAAAATTTCCTAAACCTGTCCCATTTTACCTCTAACATCCCTGTTTCACTGTGGTGTTGACTGGGTCTCTAAGTGGTATTCAGCTGAAGGATGTTTCAGAGGTCTAGAAACACTTCACTCACATCAGGCTTAGAATGTGAGTGACGCCTGATGGCTTCATGTCGACTGCTAGATGATATTTCACAAGTGGTCTCAGGGCCTGTCCTTGGGGTCTCTCCAGCAGAGTGGTCAGTCTTCTTTTATGGCAGCTCCCAGGTGGAAGCTGCAAGGCTTCTTATGCCTCAACCTCAGAATGTATAACCTAGCACTGTATCCTGTTGGTCAAGCAAGTCACCATGGGTGCAAAGGCATTTTTTCATTCCGTACTGTCTAATCCCTTTCAGTCCATGCTGGTACAATTCACTTTAAAAATTTGAGCGCATCTTTTGTGCAAATTTATAGTCAACTTCTCTAGACAAAAGTCACATCCACACTTAGTTCTGAAGCACACTCTTCTCTACCTCTGGCTGTCTATGAGGCTGCTGGAGGATAATGAATCCTGAAAACTCTTAGCTCTTTTGTCTACTGGAGAGGCACACACTTAAGAGTCTTACAGTCCTTTTATTTTATTATTTTTAATCCTCACTGGAGGATGTTTGCTGATTTGAGAGAGAGAGATCGTTGTGAGAAACATTAAATTGATCGGCTGTCTCCCACCCTCACCCTGACTGGGGATCCTATGGGAATCCAGCCTGCAACCTTTTGATGTATGGGACAGCTCTCCAGCCAACTGACCTTACAGGCCTGTTAGTTTAACTGCAATTATATACGAGGCACTAGCTTCAATCTTTTTGAGTTCTTAACCATCATTCTAATGGTTACATCTCAGATTTGATTTTTGCTCTGAAACTACATTTGACCCTTGAACAACATGGGGATTAGGACTGTCAACACTCACTCAAAAATCCATGTATAACTTTTGACGCCCCCAAAACTTAACTATTAATAGCCTACTGTTGACTGGAAGTCTTACTAATAACATAGTCAATTAACACATATTTTGTATGATATTTGTGAGATATACTGTATGCTTGCCATAAACTAAGCTAGAAAAAAAATGTTTTACAAAAATGATAGGAAAGAGAAAAACACATTTACGGTATTATACTGAATGTCTACACCCTTTATTTATTTTATTTTTCAATTACAGTTGACATTCAATATTATTTTATTAATGTCAGATGTACAACATAGTGGTTAGAAAATTATATAATTTACAACATAATTCTAGTACTTATCTGACACCATGCATAGTTATTACAGTATTATTGACTGTATTCCCTATGTTGTACTTTATATCACCGTGACTATTTTGTACTTCTTAATCCCTTCATCTTCCCGCTACCTGGCAAAGGGCCATTTTGGATTCTTAACCTGGAATCCAGGGCCTTTGACCAGACTTTAGGGAGACTGGCTCTCCTGGACTTGTGTGTGCCAGATTTTATTCTTTTTTATGGCCAAGTAATATTCCATTGTATACATGTACCACCTTTTCTTTATCCATTAATCTGTTGATGGGCACTTGGAATGCTTCCATATCTTGGCCATTGTAAGTAATGCTGCAGTGAACATAGGGGTGCATATATCTTTTTGAATTGGTGTTTTGGATTTCTTCGGATATATGTCCAGAAGTGGACTTGCTGGGTCATAAGGATATTATTGACTGTATTCCCTATGTTGTACTTTATATCACCGTGACTATTTTGTACTTCTTAATCCCTTCATCTTCCCGCCCCCCCCCCCCAGCCCTCCTTCTATCTGGTAACCCTCAGTTTGTTCTTTGTGTCTGAAAATGGTTAGATTTCATTCTTTTTTAATGGCCAAGTAATATTCCATTGTATACATGTACCACCTTTTCTTTATCCATTAATCTGTTGATGGGCACTTGGAATGCTTCCATATCTTGGCCATTGTAAGTAATGCTGCAGTGAACATAGGGGTGCATATATCTTTTTGAATTGGTGTTTTGGATTTCTTCGGATATATATCCAGAAGTGGACTTGCTGGGTCATAAGGTAGCGCTACTTTTAATTTTCTGAGGAAACTCCATACTGTTTTCCATAGTGGCTACAGCAGTTTGCAATCTCACTAACAGTGCAAGAGGTTTCTCTTTTCTCCATATAATCACCAACATTTGTTTGTTGATTTATTGATAATAACCATTCCTACAGGTGTGAAGTGATATTTCATTGTGGTTTTAATTTCTATCTCTCTGATGATTAGTAACATTGAACATTGTTTTATATATCTATTGGCCATATGCATGTCCTCTTTGGACAAATATTTAATAAGTGAAAAAAGGAAGACATAAACTTATGTCTAAGTTATAATTTTAACTACAAATAGATATGTAATAATATATATACACTAGAGGGAATATGGAGACATTTAAACAGTTGTGCTGGAGGATTAGATATATAGATAAATAGTTTTATTTCAGAATATAATTCAAAAAGTTTCTTTTTTGACAATAAATGTAATTTTTTAAAACAAAGAAATTTCTCAAGAATATACTCGTGTGTGTAAGAGTCATTGTTTAGGTTAGAAGGTACATTTTTTAAAAGACTGGAAAAAAATTAAATTTTAACATTGTTTACCTCTGGGATTAAGGGTAATTTACCTTCTACATACTTTTCTGTATTTTTCAAATATTTTACAATGAATATATTATGAACTCTGGAAAAAAAAGTAATTTTAAAAGCAAATGAGCATATTTTCCAGCCTCATTTCTGAGGCCCACACTTTATCTAGTTAATGTGTCATTTCTTAAATGCAGCACATGTCTGGCTATAGACAGAGTTCCTCTCCAAACTCAGTAGCCCATAATTTGATTTGAGACAAAACTAAATATAGCACCAACTTTAGGAAGGAGGTCGGAAATCTGACTTTCCTGGCCCTCTCCTCCCCCGGCCTCCCCTAAAGAGGCAGCAGTAGATTCTTTTCAAGACAGGTGGCCTGTGAGCCTTGTCTCATTAAACGTTTTTAAATGTTTCCTGGAAATATTCTGAGTTCAAGAGCTCTGTGGCCTTAGGTCGAAGCTAAGTGTTAAGGTTGGGGGATTCTAGACTAGGGGCTTTGTAGACTGTTCCTCAAATGTTTTAATGTTATCCACCCCCCACCCCCACTCTCATTCTTTACTGACAATTAGGAGAACTAACCCAAGAGGCGGGAAGCAAGAATACAAACTCCCTATAATACCACGCATACTCAGGCATGCTGGTGTCCTTCCTCAGTTTAACTCTTGGGCTGCCTGAGCGAAATCAATTAATTCCAGAGAAGCCTCATCCGTTTGACCTTCAGAAAGCATGTATGGGCCACACTGTGTAGGAAACATCCTGGATCAGAGCCTTCGCAGAGCCTCTCACATTTATTAACTGGGCCACAAGGGCCACTAAATCAGCATTGCTACTCATGGGCACTATGAAGCTTTCTACAAATTAAAAAAAGGTCAGTGGTAGTGCTATTAATAATGGTGGTTATGTCACTTAATAAAATGGTTTTATTTTAGAGCTGAAAAGGAGCTCCGGGGCTGTAAGCACTTTAATTATAGCATGTCTGACTTGTCTAAACCTCTCACAGAAATAGATGGTACATGGTCTCCGGCAGCGCCATCTCCAAAGGACCCTGTTCCATGGTCTTAGAGCAGTTATAAGGCAGCTTCTACGTCCTGATGGCCAGTGATGGAGCTTTTCTGGGGGAGTTGGGGAGCACCCCACCCTCCTGCAGCGAGTGGGAGAGCCCACCTACCTCCATGCTTGGGGAACTGACACCCAGAGAGATAGAAATGCCACAAAACCAGGGATGTCTGAGATGGAGACAGCTGCTAAGGCTGCAATGTTTCGTTAGGATGCTTCCCTTCCCGAGCGAGGTTCCAGTCTCCAAATTAATGGTGAGACCGACATGTCAGATCTCTAATAACCCCTAATTACTTGCTGGTGAGACCGACATGTCAGATCTCTGAGAAAATAACCTGGCGTCCTATGATCATGTAGCATGTGCATCCGCATGCAGCCAGGATTGCGCCTAAAACCCTCCTGCGCTGGCTCCGGGGTTACCTGCGGGTAGGGTGATGCAGGCACCAGAGAGGACCTCCTCTCTAAATTCACCCAGCCTATTGGTTGGCTTTTTCCAAAGGCTATGGGCGGGGTGGGCAGGCACAGAGGGCTTGGTGTGGCGTCCCTTTACTGTCCCTTTGCCAACATCACCAAGGCAGGGAGGGCCGGAGGGTGTGTCTAGGCGGCGGTAACCCGCTCAGCTCCTGACTCCGGCGGCCAGAGCCCCGCCTCCCCTCGCGGTTG